AACAATATTTACATAGATTATTAGAGTTCACAAGGCACTCTTCCTAAACATTATTTTCCTTGACTCTTAATAAAAGTAATTTAAATAAACATATAAACAAAAAAATGTTATGTTAAGAAATCTGACAAACAACATTAATGCAAAGCAATTTTATATGACATGATTGACTTTTGCTTATATTAAATAAATTCTTTTCCCTAATGAAATAACAGATCGAGGAAACAGTCATGATAGCTAAATCAATTAGGCTGAACAGCAATTGTATATAATAGATGAAGCCAACTGACAACATGTGAACTCACTGATTAATCTTAACATCATAGAAAAGAAGGAAAGCCAGATACCTCCTTATATAATGTCATAGAAGTACACTATGCTACCTATGCAGTATTTGTGCCAAAAAGTAAACCTGGATCCAATCAAGTCTCTAGATCTAGCTACCAGTTTCCAAACAAAACAAGAATAAAGGAATATATTAAATTATGATTTAGGAATGTAATTAGCAAAACCCAGAATGTGGGAAATTTCAAGGCACAAAGATTATAAGAATAATAACAAGAAAAAAGAATAAATAGAAAAAAAAAATATGTTTAACCTACTCCTGGTGTCATGATGAAGGATCAGCACTAGACTACAAACCACAAGGTCAGCAGTTCAAACCCACCAGCTGCTCCTCGAAAACCCTATACAGGGTCCCTATGAGTCGGAACTGACTCAATGGCACTTAACAAAAACAACACAGACTAAAAGAGACAGGAGATTTATCAATCAAATGCGATGTGTGGACCTTATTTAGATCTAGTTTTGAACAAATTATTGTTAAAAACAGATTTATAAGACAATTAGGAAAACTTGAATACTTGATATTTGATGAATCTTGGTATGGTGCTGTAGGATAAGCACTGGACTGCTAACCACAGGTTTAAAACTACCAGCCACTCTTTGGAAACCCCTACATAAGGTTGCTATGAGTCAGAACTTAGTTAACGGCACTTGACAACAACAATGAGGAATTGTTTTTCATCTTTTTAGATGTGATTAAGGTACTGTGATTGCTTTTTTTAAATCCTTATCTTTTAGGGATATATATTAAAGTTCTTGTGATATCCAAAATTTGCTTCAGTTTAATCATATGATTGTTGTTAAGAGCCTTCGAATCAATTCTGACTTATAGCAACCCTGTATAGGGTTTCTGAGGAACAGCTGGTGGGTTTGAACTGCTGACCTTCGATTAGCAGTCCAGTGCTTATCTACAGTGCCACACCAAGACTCCAATCATATGACAGGAGGGAGGACGAAGTGGTACAAATGAAATAATATTAGTCATATCTTGACAGTAGTTGAAGCTGGTTGATGAGTACATGGGAGAGATCATGTCACATTTCTCTCTACTTTTATATGTTTGACATTTTCTGGACAAAAAATATTCTAAAAAGAGCAACCCAAGAGATAAATCAACTAAAAGCAAAGGGGCCCTTGTTTAGATCCTGATTCAAATTAACCCAACTGTAATGGACAAATCTGAAAATTGACTGGCTTTGTGATAATGGAGGCTGCGTGACATCAAGTTAGTTCCTACTCACAGTGACCCTGTATAGGGTTTTGTTGTTGTTAAGTGCCATCGAGTTGATTCCGACCCATAGTGACCCTGGATAGGGTTTCGGAGGAGTGGCTGATAAGCTTGAACCGCCAATGAGGCTGTAAATCATTATGGAAACAGAAATCCTCATCTTTTTTGCGAAGAGTGGCTGGTAGATTCAAACTGCTGACCTT